TTTGCGTTTTCTCGTTTTTTGTCGTTTTAGGTTTGGTTTAAGAATCGTCGCGCAAAATGGCGTAAACAAAAGCGTGAGGAACAAGAGCGGCTGCGTAAATTGCAAGAGGAGCAATGCAGTGGTGCTGGCAACAACACATCGACTGGGGTGGCTGGCGCCTCAAGCTTAGGCGCTGTTAACGGCACCGGTGCGGTAATGGCCGCTGTGGCGAATCTAAAGTGTGTCGCCGAGGATTATGCCAGCCAATTGAGTCATCACATTAAAACGGATCCTAATAGTTATAATAGCGATGCGGATGAGTCATCGGACTTGGAGGTGGCATAAAAGCATGCTACCCATTCATTTGTACATACATACATGGCGTGTTGTAATTGTAGATATCCCTCCCAATTTTTAAATGAGATGTAAATTATAATTTTTAAGCAGTAAAAAAAGTAGAGTTTGCGGCGATTAAATAGAATCAAAAGCTTCTTGTTGTAAAATTCGTAATCTATATTTGACAAATTGCAAATGTATACATACATATGTAGATATGTATGTTAATACATACTTAAGTGATTACAAACATATGAAGTTATTTGCCGCATAATCACACTTTTTAGTATTTTAACTAATTTCGTAAAACCATCAAACTTTGTACATATGTATGTATGTTTCTGTTGTTATTGTATTGTGTTTGTTTGTTATAACGCCTTAAATTATGCTAATAAATTTTGTAATGTATAAAAGTATGAATTAAAATGTTGGAGTGTGGTATTAATGTGATTTAAATTTTTCCTAAAACAAGATAAACAAATGTATTTAATTAATACTCGTAAAATAAGTGCGTGTGTGTCACATTTTTCAAAAATAATAGTTTAAGGCAAGAATTTATTAGCTAAAATATGCATAGTAAATGTAAATGGAATTAACTAATGATCAATTGTAAGCATTAATTATAAAGCATAAACAAAATAAAATATGAATAACATTTAAAAATGGCTGGAATGTTTTTATTAAGGCAAATCAGATAACTAGTTATAATATTGCCATAGTCGATAAAATCAACAACTTTCATGTTTACAGTTTATCGCGCAGACAAGCGGCAGCGTTGATCCGGATTAACGGCGCAGTTGAAGGAACCGGGAGGTTGTGGGTTCGAGTCACACTGCCCGCAGAATTTGCATTTATTTTTTTTTTATTCATTCAATTACTACTCTTAGGACCGGTTGTTCAATGTCTGGTTATCACTACCAACCTAGTTAGACATAATTATGGTGTGATCGATAAAGCAGTCGTTGTGTTTAATCGGTGCTTTTACCTCCGGTTTTGGCAACCGGGCATTGACTGAGTCTCAAATTTATCTTCCCGGTAAACTCGGCGGCTGCTTTATCGGTCACATGCATATAACAGGCAGTCGATAACGGTGTTTACGGTGAATATAAATTTAACAGGCATTCGAGAAAACGCCCCTTATTTTTTAATGTTATTTTATGTTATTATAGTTGGTGCGGACTTTTTTAATAAAATTTAACTCCAAAAAGTATAAAAGTCTAAGTTCGGGCGAAGCCGTTAAATGGTAAGAACGGGTGTTTTTAACCCTATTTCAAACAACTTCGATAGTATGTTCAGTTAGACTTAATGATATAATGTTGTATAGTTATATAAGTGGGTGGTATCACGCCCATTTTTCAAAAATTTTATAATAATTTTAATTTCTACAGGATTGTTGTGAGTGTCCATTTTGAGTAAATTAGTGTCCTTAAATTTCGAAATGTCGAAGTTTAAGCATTTCTCAAGGTAATAAGATCAACGGAAATAAGGTCAATTGACTTTATTTCCCACCCTGGTGCGAAATAAAGTCAATTGACATTATTACCTTTTTTAAAAACGAAATAAAATCCATTGGCATTATTTCTCTTTCAAACATTAAATTTGCTTAGCTTCGCGGCGGCCCGCGTTAGCGCGCCACACCGCGCGCGCCGCGCTAGCGCTCGCGCCCCGCGTACCCCGCGCGACCGGCGCGCACACCACGTCACGCTACGCCGCGGCCCCCCCTCCCCCCTTCCCCGTCTCCCACCGTGCTGTAACGCAGGTAGATTTATTTTTTGTATACGTTGAAATACAATTTTTATATATTTTAAACATCGAGGGCTTATATTCAATAATACCCTCTATCTGCACATTTTTCACAAAGATGAGATTCTGATATAAAAATCCACCTAAGCTTTAGCTGTTATCAGTGATATTAATGTTACCTTATATAACGACAAGTAATAAGACCCAGATGGTTTCTAAAATCACAAATTAGGTTTTGTGCAAATTGCAGATAGAGGGTATTCATGAATTCAAGCCCTCGATATTTCACCTTTGTATATTTGTAAGTTAATGGAAGCAGGAATGCCAACTTGGCTCAAACCGTGCCATTTGTCCCTATTTTACTTCAAATGGCACTTAATTTTTCAATTTGGCACAAAGTGCCAAAATGGCACTTTTGTAAAAAAAAAAAATAACATTTCAATACATTTTTGTGAAATCCTTTGCGTGCACTTCTTTTCTCAACTAAAATTTTCTAATTTATAAAGGCTATTCAACTGGTTTATCTTATTTTATCATTGCACTTTTGTTTGGAAAATGTAGCTTTATTTTACTGCTAAATGTGAATGATTAAAAGGAATGACACTTTTTTTGGCACTTTTATTTTTCTATTTGGCACATTTTGGCACTTTTTTATCCTCAATACTCCTCATAACTAAGGATAGTTGGCAGCCCGCACCAGGGTGGGAAATAAAGTCAATTGACCTTATTTCCATTGACCTTATTACCTGTCACCATTTATCAAATTTGCTGTTATATAAAAAGTGAACCCAATTTTTTTCAAAAATTATCAAGTACTTGCTTGTCAACTTTATTAAAAAACCAGGACAATTTGTCTAAAACCAGGACAAATCGTGGAAAACCATTACGCTTTGATGGAATTTCAAAATATGTAACTAAAAAGCGTCCAAATGGCGCTTACGACGATGGGTATCTAAAAAACCTTCCTCAAATTTAATACATTTCTATATTTATTAAGGTAAATGTTTAGAATTGAAATACAGTAATTTTTATTCGGTGGATTAGCTGTACATCAGGTAAAAAGGACTGGGCTCCACTTGAAATTTCTAATTGGTATGAGTTGACACACTTGACTATTTATAAAATAACAATTATATATAGTCACTAGACTAGGGCTGCCAGACGTCCTGGTTTTCCAGGATTTATACTGGTTTAGACAAATTTTCCTGGTGTCCTGGTCCACACTTAAATTGCCCTGGTTTTTGCGCTATGCAAAAAAGGTTAAGCCTCCTATTAATAGAAATCATTAATCGATAACGAAACTTGTTTTCTAGCATGTTTAACAATATCTGGCGAGTTTACCTTCCTTCTTTTTAGTTTATTTTGTTAAAATCTTCCGTTTTTATCTTCAGGCAAATGTCAAAATAGTGCGAATTCTGGACAGGTACACGGCTGAGGGGTCATACATGCTACGCAACAGATAATTTCAGAGGCTAAAATCTCTCCCAAAGGCTTTTCTGAAAGTCGTTTCTTTCATGGAATCGCGTAAATGCCTCGTAACCGCGTAAACCTCGTAAATAAACCGATTTTTATACCCGAGCGCACTTGTGCACAAGGGTATTATAACTTTGTTCACATAACGGTTGTTTGTAACAGGCAAAACGAATCGAGATAGATATAGACAAATGTATACATAAATGATCAGAATGAAAAGAGAAATCGATTAAGCGGTGACTGTCTGTCCGTCCGTCTGTCCGTCCGTCTGTGCACACGATAACTCGAGTAAAAATTAAGATATCTTAACAAAACTTTGTACGTGTACTTCTTTCGGGCGTAGGACGGATGGTATTGAAAATGGGCAAAATCGGACAATAACCACGCCTACCTTCCATATAACGGTAATTTTCAGAAATACGAAAACTGCGATATTTTAGTAACTACTGAAGATTATTCAGTCAAAATTGATATTTATAATAATTTTGAGACGAGAAATAAGAATATTATAAATTTTTGAAAAATGGGCGTAGCCACGCCCACTGATGGTTACATGTGTATATCTTGGCAACCGCTGCACTGATTTCTTCTAAACTTTGCACAGTTGTTGGCTTTGGTACAGCATACCAAACGGCCGAAAATTTTTAAAATCGGACAATAACCACGCCCTCATTCCATATAAGGGTAATTTAGAGAAATACGAAATCTTCGATAAATCAGTAAATATTAAAGCTAATTTATTCAAAATTGACGCTTGCAACCATTCTTTACCAAGAAATACGTTTATGATAAAATTTTGGAAAATGGGCGTGGCACCGCCCACTTATGATCACATATATGTATCTCGGTAACCGTTCTACCAATTTGTACCAAACTCGGTACGGTTATTGTGCTTGCCACATAAAAGCAAAGCGTTGAAAATTATTGAAATCGGCCTAAAATTACGGCCGCTTTTCATATAACAATAAATTTCAGAAATGCTTGAAATTTCAATATTTCGAAATTCAAGGACACTAACTTACTCAAAATTGATACACCCCGGCTTACCATGTAGCGGTAGCTTGCGGAAAGGTGAAAAACATATATTTAATACTTGCGCCGGGTATTTAATGTTCGGCTCCGCCCGAACTTAGACTTTCATACTTGTTCATAATAAATTAAGTAAGATAACAAGGTTTACATGAAGAATTTGGACGTAGTTTTTCCTGAGCAAAAAAACACGCATTTATTAATGAAAATCTAATTCCTATCTCTTGCCGATGGATAGCGTGGAAAGGGGTGAAAAATTTTGTTAAAAAAACACCAGCGAAGAACATGGCGAACGGCTCCACTAGGACCTAGCGACTATGGAGAAGTAGTACACTGAGGGAAATAATGCATAGTAAAAATTAATACATTTTATTTGATTATCATTTAAAAGTGTTCGTATTTAAAAATAATATTTTCATATTTCCACATCTGAGTGTATACATATATGTAAGCGTACATACCCTAATCAACTAATTGAAAGACTACTTTAAATCAAAAGCAGTCAGTAAGTGTTTCGAATTTCGATAGTCTCTTTAACCAAAGAAACAATTTGTGTTTTGGAACTATGAAAAATCATCTGTAAAGTGCAGAACTCAAGCGTATTCAAAAGAAACAATCTGACTTTGAATTTGTTTAAACCAAATGCATTTTAAAGTAGTTGAAATTAAATGCAGAGCCGTACAGTCGACTTGCTGCTGCCACACAATTTAAACTGAACCTTTGAGAGTACATTTACATGGCTGGCTGTGGCTGAGAGTGTAGAT